CAGGTCAATCGTCGCATTTCCAGGACTTTCAGAAAACATGTTGCAATAATGTGAGGTTGGAACACTGTTTTTAGCCTTGAATATTGTCAGAGTAGAAGCTTTACTGAACTTTCTAAGTGACCTTTTTAGGAAGACTGATCCAGATTTTAGCTGCATAAATATGAAATGCAGACTCCCCATATTAGCCCTGGCTCAGAGTCCCGGTAGGAGGCCAGTCCCTGTGCTCCACAGGGACTAGAATGTCTAAGACAGGGGTGCCCAAACCTTTTGCTTCCAAGGGCCAAAGTAAAAATTTGCCAGTGGGCCGCGGGCCAAATACACCAATATTATCAGAATCAGAATCAGATCAGAATCAGAATCATTTTTATTGCCACGTAAGTAACAGGAGGTCACAGACTAGGAAATTTGATCAAGTTCTTTTAAATGCATTAATTATTGTCTATCAGTGCAAATCACAGCTGAATGAATTAAATCAACACAGTCTTAGTGAAGTGGAGACTCCAGGGAAATATGCAGGTTTGAGGAGACTACAGTACGGAAAGATTCCGGTCGGGTAATCAGGGTCCGGAGGAGGGAGATTTTCTGTCATGGCTTATTTAAAGGTTAAAATCATATAATAAAACCTCAAAAAGAGAACAGAAACATACATTTTGTGTGCACCATGTGCACTTGTATATTGTAAATAGTAACTGTAACTCTATTTTAAATTTAAATTTATTCCTTAGAAGTGTTTTTTATTCTTTTTTTATTATCTCTGTTGCACTGAGCCAAAGCAATTTCCAAGTCTATTTTCATATATTTATTTTGAACAAAAGTTTTTAACTACATTTGAATCATATTACTTTATCTTAGCTTTTATCAAAAAGGGGAGACATCACTGATCAATAGATCTGGTTTTAGCACACTTTTAAACAATACATTTTAACAGTAAGTAATGAATTTGGGAACATAATTGCTAACTGCATTTTCTAAACATGATCAGGTTTTAACTCTGTTTTAACATAGGACAAGTATTCTCAATTAGTAGTGAACTGAATATTAAACTAACAAAATCAGACTAGTTAACCATGATTTTTTCCTGGAGTTTTGTTTTGTTTTGCCTAAACACAGTACAACATTTATAAATAATCAAAACAAAGTAACTGTTAAAGAGTCCGAGTTTCCGCTCCTCCAAAGGGCTCTTGAACGCATCATAAAACTCCGCGTAAGTTCTGACATTCAATGATCGCGAGTGAGGACGGCGCTTACCGGCTTCTTTCATGGGGTTGTAGAAGAGTTTGTTTTGCACAGTATTTGTTGCTTCTACTTGCGTGGATCGTGCGCTGCGATCCCTGCTTGCCCTGCTTGAACTCACTCTGAAGTGTTTGTGTCCGTCCTTTTTAACACACCGGGTGGGTGCGGATTGCGCAGGTGAATAGTTCCACTCACCATTTCCCTCCGGTGAGGAGGGGGAGTGGCAGTTCGCCAGCACAATCCTCTCAATTTGATAAAACATTAAATAGCTCCAAAAAATAATAATAGTAGGCTGAAAAAAAACATAAATGGGCCTTGCACCCAATTGTTTTGAAAGATGTGTTTGATTTTAAAAAACATTTTAGTGCAAGTTGATGTGAACCATGATTGAGGAGTGTATCTCGATACAACACTTAAGTACTGGACAGTCGTAATTCAGAGGGTGACTATGCGCCCGCGCAACCTCAGACATGTCACTGTTAATTCAGCGAGGCTGAGGGACGCAGATAGAAACTTATAGCGGAGGTGGGCAATGTTTGGCGGGCCAACTGAAATGGTCTGGCGGGCCAACTTTGGCCCGCGGGCCCCACTTTGGGCACCCCTGGTCTAAGAAATATGCTGTTGCTTGATCATGGAGAGACTGGTGGAGCATCTTTGAAAGTAAACATTTACATACATTTTCTGTATTCAGAGAATAAAAATAAATAAATAGTGCTATTCAGTTTTTTGGGAATAATGATCACAAAAATACAATCTTAATCAAAAAGTTATGATTCACAAAGTAAATAACACATTTTGGCATCTTTTAAGTTATACCCGCCGGCAGCATTTTTGGTTTATTTCAGACTTCAGCTTGTCAAAGCACATTTATTTTGGTCTTCAAATTCTAAAAGCTGTGTATCATTTTAAAGCTTATTTTCTCATCAACATTAATATACAAGTGCAAGCAATACCAGACTTTACACTGAAAAGATATAAAGCAGAATATGGGCACAAACATAAATAATTATCATCATTTATTATATCATCATAAAGCATTTCTCACCTTTGGCCTTGTGCTGTGTCTGTAATATTGAAGTTTTCCATGCTTGCTATGGCTCATTAATTTCGTAAATGTTCATGGAAAAGCAACATCCACTTTAGGGCTGCAACTAATGCTTTTTTAAATAATAGATTTTTCTGTCAATTATTTCTTTGATTTATCAATCAATGTATTAATTTATTTATTGATTCATTTCAAGCAGATCACATGAAAAAAAATAACAAATGTAACAGCTGTACATAAGTACAGGAATTAGAAAACGTTTGGCTCGAAAATCAAATTAATAAATAAAAACATTTTTAATTTTCATCATTCAAATACAAGGCCATGGACCAACACAAAATAAAAAACATACAAATGTATACATGCAGCATCTGCCAAATATTGGCTTTTATTTTTTAAGTAAATTGCACAAAAAGGGGTATTTTTTGTTGTTTAAAAGGGACCCAAGCATGTCAGAACAATAAGTAAATGACAAATGATAAAGAAAAATACAAAAAAGGAATTGTCAGACACAGACGCACACTCACACATACAGTATGTATGTCTGAGTGCATACACTCTCAAGCTGTGTGTGACCGGAGCATGCGTTTTCAATGCAAAGTCAATGGTGATGTCCGACCATGAGAGGAATTGCATGGACGTCACGGCACTTTTATTTCGCACGGGAGACGGGATACATGCAGCAAAGCCAGGAGATGAACGTACTCGCTCCACACACGTGTGGCAACCAATCAGAGAGCAATGGAGGATGCTGTGCTTGTGAACATATGTCTTCACCCTGAGTTGACATTCTACTGTAACTTTAAATAGTGTTGCTAACTTGCTCGCCAATGCGGAAGTACCAGTGTTAGCATCAAAGCCCACCCACCACTTTCGTCCTGCGGTTTTCCCCAACACTGGAAAGTACAGCAGCAGTTGACTAAACTCATGCTGCTGATATTTCTACACACGTGCATGCATCGTCTGAACACAGCTGTACAAGAATGTGCTCAACTCACGTGAGCTCCACAGCGTAGTGGCCGACGTATTAATCGCGCGACACAATGAAACGATAATGACATTTGTTGCCAACACTTTTAATAATCTATTTTTATCGATTTTATTGATTTGTTGTTGCAGCCCTAATTTACTGTACACTGTAAGAAATGAAATGTTGACTTTACTTAACTTTTTTATGGCAACCGGTTCCACGAAACTGTGTTGTTTAAATTGGAAATGCAAATCACAATTAATTTGAACACCAGATGTTAGATAAAGTATACTCAACATTCTCACTTTACAGTAACATGACAGTGTTAGATTGTATAAGCCCAACAACATTATGTTGGATTTACTGATCTCACATTGGTTCAACCAAACACGGTTAAGTTTGATCAACTTAACAGAAATGAATAATATTTATGTAGGGGGCTTGTGTTGATTCAACAAAACTCAAGTAGTAATGGCTACATTGTTAAGTTAAATAAATACAACATAAAGTGCTTATTTATATTCAAGCTTTTATTTAAACAGGTACCAGTATGAGCATCAATATAAAAAGGTGTAATTTCTCTCCACCCATTTAACACATGTACCAACTCAAACATTTTAAATAAAAAATATACAATTAATTAAATGTAAAGTGCATAAATGATCCCACATTTAAATCAAAGTAACTTTTCATGAAACAGTTGAATGTAAATACACATTGCAGTAGTTTAACAACTAGGAACTGCCTATTAAATGGCTTAAATAATAACAGTGGTTGTGTGTAGTTAATGTTTTCACTCTGAAAATTGGCTAAAGACTGCCAACAGAATTGCTAAACCCCAACAGCTACCCACCAGATGTATGTAGACCAACTAAACATTTGTTTTAAACTTTTGCATTTGGGACTAAACTTTGAAATTAACAGCTACTTCCAAATTCTTGTCTGGAGTAAGAAGCAATGCAAAAACATGCAGTGAGTGAGTGAGCAAGTGAGTGTCGGTCCGTTTGAGTCTGTCCGTCTGTGTCTCCATCCGTCTATCTGCGTCCCTGTCTGTCCGTCTGTGTCCCGGTCCCTCTTTCAGTCTGTCTCCATCAGTCTGTGTCCCTGTCTGTCTCCATCAGTCTGTGTCCCTGTCTGTCTCCATCAGTCTGTGTCCCTGTCCGTCTCCATCAGTCTGTGTCCCTGTCCCTCTGTCTCCATCAGTCTGTGTCCCTGTCCCTGTCTCCATCAGTCTGTGTCCCTGTCCGTCTCCATCAGTCTGTGTCCCTGTCCCTCTGTCTCCATCAGTCCGTCTCCATCAGTCTGTGTCCCTGTCCGTCTCCATCAGTCTGTGTCCCTGTCCCTCTGTCTCCATCAGTCTGTGTCCCTGTCCCTCTGTCTCCATCAGTCTGTGTCCCTGTCCCTCTGTCTCCATCAGTCCGTCTCCATCAGTCTGTGTCCCTGTCTGTGTCCCTGTCCGTCTCCATCAGTCTGTGTCCCTGTCCCTCTGTCTCCATCAGTCAGTCTCCATCAGTCCGTGTCCCTGTCCGTCTGTGTGTCTCCATCAGTGTCTCGGTCCATCCATCTGTGTATACTTTTTTCAAAAGAGTACATTTAAGCTAGTCTCAAGAGCACAGCACAACACACATAGTACAGGATGTATATCGAAGAGTCTTTTCAGCCTACAAAGTCCTTTCTTCTCTGTTGCATGTACGGTGTGATATCCACTGATGAAACATAGTCCAAACACATTTTGAAACAGTTAAGTCTTGATTAGATATGTTCGTGCAGTTTGTTTTTCAGAATTTGAACTTTGTTGGAGAGCTTTCTTCTGTCCAATTCCATCAATACCTTTGGAATAAATTCAAAAGTACATCCGAGTCCCTTTCGAGAGTTCATGTCCAGACAGTAGATTAATCCAAAAAGAAGCGCCCATCCAGTTGGAATATGTTTTAGGTCTTGAAGAACTGCAATGCCTTCGATGATTATTCCAAAGTCCTCCAATGAGTCTGATGCATCGGCATGTTGATGTTCCACGATGTAGACACCCAGCACTACTTTCTCAAACTCCTTCTCTGCTCCAACATCGGCATCCTTAAAAAGAAAAGAATGGCAGATAGAAAGCTTCAATTTACAATTTAATATTTTCCCATATTGAAATCAAACCCTATAAAATCAAGCACAAGGTGTGAGATGGTGACATTTTGCTTGTCAGCTGTCAATTCTGGATTAAAGCAAAAGTTCCATACCATAAATTCTCATTCCATCCTTGTTTACACACTAAAGATTATTGTTTAGCTAGACCCGGACCAGGACATAAAGAGCACTATAAAAGAAACCTTCATGCAGTTTATGAGTTTAAAAAAAGTTGTTTTGGTGTTTAGTTTTCCTTTAAAAGTTAGACTAGCAATTGTGTTTCATTATCATTTAAGGTAAATTATCCATAATAAAAGTAGATATTTATCTTTATGTGAATTTTGGTCTTTGCATTATTGGCTCTATGCACATAGTATTCATACTTTAAAATGTTCACTAAGTATGAGTAATAAGTATGAATGTTAAAATATCAATAGTACTTCATCCCTACAAGCCTGTTTTGTGAATTCTCACTCATAAGGGGTCTTTATTAGAACATTTGTCACCATTGTTTATATCAATTATACAATGTATAGGAATTGGAGGCTGGGCAAGGTAGGCCTATGAGTTGCGCCGTTGCATTTTTCTTCAGTGTCTACATTACAAATCAGTTTGTTTCGTTGGTGGTGACAAATCTGGCCTGTTTATATAACTATTGCTATAGCCCACTGCTCCCTCTGGAAAATGAGCAGGAGACAAGTCCACCTGAGTGCGTTGTTCTGGGCTGTCCCCAGGTCTTTACCATCTAATTTCTGCATTACTGCGCATACTGAAATGTTTTTCTTTGTGGCAGAGGTTTATTATTGTTTTTACTGTACTCATTACATCTAGTTCTGCATACAGCAAATAAAAAAATGCAACCTCTCTACCTAAAAGTTAATTTTACACAGCCCAGGTTTTAGTTTAACAAATTGGTTTGAAATAGCCATGCAACTTTCTTCATCTATTTAGACTTGGAGATATTTGCGTGACACCATGATTTGAATGTATTTATAGATATCAGCATTTGTCAAAGGTGTGCTGAAATAAGTCATAACTCACCATGTAGGTCTTAACCAGGTCTTCGGGGTCTTCATTCAAGTACACGCACAGAGCCTTTAGGATGCAGAGTAGTCTTGTTTCAATGTTGGGTTTCTGTGAAAGACCAATTAAGTGTTCTCGTTATACAGTAATATTTGTGTTACATTTTCAAAAAATATATTGAGAAAAGTCAGAATGTTGGGTTAAAGCTGCACTAACTGACTTTGGGATTTTGAAGCCGCGGACTCGCTGGCCTCTCTTTCTGCTCCCCTCCCCGCACCCACGAAGCTATCGCCCCACACACACCCACTGTTGTTGACGGAGCTAGCCTCTCCCAATATGGATAATACATGGATATGGATTTGCACGTGGATGGCGTGACCATAGAACGATAGAACCGGGAAGTGCGGAGGAACGAGACTTTCTTTTGGCTGTGTCGCTGTGTAAGCAGTAACCGGTGACGAAGACGAGAAAGTTTCAGGTTAGCTCCGCCGCTTGTTGTGCTAACTCAGCTGTCTGTGCTAACGGACCTGTAGATTTCTCACGAAAGTGGGGGCTAGTGGTCCGCTGTGATTGGTCACAATCTGAGACCCGAAACACATTCTCTTCCTTGTTTCATCAAAACTCGATCTAAAATATAATGTCACGCCAACACAAATCTGCACTACTTTTTCTTCAAAAGGACGTATATCCCAATGCACTACATGGACATGGATAGCATTTTTGTAATGAATACAAAAATAAAGTCAGTTGGTGCAGCTTTAATAATGCTCAGATTATTCATGAGAATATGTTCTGTTATGTTTGTATAGAAAGTAAAACTTATGACTATCCAGTAAGGTTTCAATGTAAAACACACCTCTTCTAGGGCCACCATAATCTGTTATTTTGCGTCCTGCTGCTCCTCCTTTCTTCTTGAACACCTTCATTAGTTTGTTGGAGTATTGATCAACAGTATGTGCATAGTGTCTTAATCCATAATGATAATGCTTCAATTTGTAGTGTTTAAGAGACAGATACCTTGTAGAGTCTCAGTCTCAGGGCACTCCTTGCACCTCCACATTGAAAACCTGAAAAACAGAGACTGACATTAGAAATAGTTTCAGATTCATTAATTACATTTTTATTTAAAGTAGTAGTCCCTCTACAATTCACCTACACCATACTAATCATGTTTTTTGTAGTAACTGCAGACAAACCAAAATAACAAGACCCTTTAATGGAAAATGAGCATGTCCCAATCACCATGGTTTTCCTCAGATCCTGAAGATATTTAAACTTAAAATGCTTTTATTAATTTGTATTGTAAATCCTAAAAAGTATGGAACCTTATGTTGCTCGCGTCGTCAAGTAGAATTAAATGAATACCGAAGTTACCACAGTAAACACATCAAACACACTCAATGTAAATAATTCTTTAAACACAGGTAAAACCAATTACGATAACAAAAATATACAACTAACACATGTTTTGTTATATTTGTAGAGAACTCGGAAGCGAAAGTCTGTCCACTGCAATAGTCCGGGTGAAAAATGGACCGTTCCGGGTTACCGTGCACGCACAGACACTACTAATCATGCAATACGGAACGGCACGCCTATCCGTAACACACAGCTCTTCACACCTTAGTTTATAACCTTGGCATAGCCATCATTTCGAGTGAAAACGTTACAATACTGCGCACACGCCTTGTACAGATTGAATTAGCTAATTCAATATATTCAACAATAATTGAAATAACAGCTAAACAGAATCCATGTTGAAGATGAAAGTTCTGATCAATAATCATAACTATGACATGAACGTTACTTTTAACAACAGTTGAGGCGAGAAATGCGACCCTTAAGGTCATTTTGGTGATTTATTTAGCGGCATAATGATAGGTTGGACTAGCGGGGAGCTCCGCATGTGGCAGAAGCTAGCGTTAGCTGTTAGCAGCTATCAGCTGCTGTGTTTGCAGCGCCATTATGGTGAAAGCATGGTCGGCAAGTCACTGTTCGACGCAACTGGAAAAAAGAGAAACTAACACTGCTTACCTTGAATGCCCAAGATCAAATTATAATGTGTTTAGTTATAAGTAAATCATACAACATTACCATGGAAAACCTCCGATAGTCTAGCAATGACTATGTTCCAAAATGAACGACAAAAGACACAACCACTATTGAAAATTACACCATACCGTTTCATGCTGTATAGTCAAAGAAGCGTCTTACTTACCAAAATGACGAGGATTTTTGACCACTCACAGTTGTGTCTTTTCAAATGGCTCTCACTCTGTTCGCGGTCAGTGGCAAGCTCTCGGTTGCAAGGGTTGCCAGATGCGGCAAGATTTTCCTGCCCAAAACCCGCGAGAATCCCAACAAAAAACCACCCAAAATGATATTTTTGCGATAAAAAGTTATGGAATCAACTTAGAATATCAGGATACTGTTTATGGCCGTTTTATCCATTAATTAACTACAAGATACTTGGAACAAAAGTATGCGGGGAACCGCCCATCTGGCAACCTTGACAACTACGCATGTCTGCGTCATTGCGTCACAGCGTCATTGCGTACATGTTTTGTTTACGTGAAAGAGTTAGGTTGGTTTTAAACATATGTACTGTTTAGCTCTGAAATCTGTTGCTTTTGTGTTATACCAATGCAATATTGATATGTTTTCTGTAGAAACATAAGAAACACATTAATTTCACTTCAACCATTTCACATAAAGTGCACAACATCACTCTTTCACTTCTTAGAGTGTACTTGGGATTTCCGAAATATAGTCCAGTATGGAGATATAATCCAGAAATATGTGTATTTCTTCAGCAAAAAGAAATTCTTCAAAGACATTACAAGTTTCTCCTTCCCACTTTGCTAAAACGACGATGGATTTGGTCCTAAACAAATCCTATTCCCGTGTTACTCTTTTCCGTAGCTAAACAATGAGACCTTGGTTTAGGCGATCCGTGCTGTAGTATTAAACCGTATTTGTAAACAAGTCTGGCGCCTCGTAGCTGGTTTAGCGGTAGTAGCCTTCGAAGATCAGTGCATCCTATTTTGCTAGGACGTTATTTTTTCCAAATGATTGATAGGTCTAAGCAGCCTATGACGATAGCTTTAAAACAAGGTGTGGGACTTTTTTGAAGAGACAGACCACAAAAGGAGGCAAAACACACAAAGAAATGAAGCCGGTTTTACGCAGCATGTAATTAAACTATGATAAAAATATAAACTTTAAAAAACTATCAAAATCATAAAGGAATGTAGCTTTTAAGTACCAAAACTTAAACATTTGTTTTTAATGGTGATGGATGACCTAACATTTGTAACTTTTTCATAAGTACTAGCTTATGAAATAGGACAACTGCTTTACAACTATAAAATCTAGTGGTCTGAAACTTTAGACAAATGCTTTCAAAAAAAAAGAAGACCATAGAGTTTGAATATTATGAGCTTAAAATGAAATACCTTTATTAGGGTTTTTCTAAATTTAATATTTTAGGCAAGGCTAAAAACTAGTTTTTTCTTCCCAAACTTCAAAGGATGCAGAGTGAAATAGGAATGAAATACATTATTCTAGTGTATACTTTACATAAACTAGAAGGCTCTACCTTTAAAATGATGCAT